TGGTTTTCTTGGAACAGTAAAAACGCATGCAGTACCTCTGAGTTGGGATTTTGATCTTTGTCAAAACCACCGAGATCAGTGGGAGGCTGAGTAGGAGGGGAGCTTGCTGAGTTTTTGTGCTTCTGTCTCAAGGTGAGAGAAGTATGTAGATACAGCTCGTCAAGGTGTTCCCACCTCTCTATGTATCTATTTCTCCACACATATGTTGCAGAGTGGGGGTTCAACTTGTACTGTCAAGTTGTATCCCAGCTTCACGGAAAAGAAAATAGTTTCATTTGTACAAAAGAGTTCTATGTACAAGTATTTGTGACTTGAGGGCTTTTCTTTTCATTGTTAGTTGGCTTTTGTCTGTCAGTTTTATATCAGTAATTCAGGAAAACAGCCATGTTGGTGTGGGAGAGCTGGAGGTGCAGACAGCTCCAAGAGTGGAGCTTCTGAGACCTCCCTACCCCCATCCAATGCACTCGTCTTGGGAAGTGAGTCCCCAGAGCTCCCCATCTTAGAGGCTCAGTGCTGGGGGGCAGGAAGGGCAGCACTAGGGGTGGCACGGAGTTCATCAGGGGTGGGGCAAGGGACTGGGGGGTTGGCATGGCCAGAGTTGTCTGAGGTAAGGTGGCTGTGAAGGTGACAATAGGGACCCTGGCTGTAGGAGGCCCAAGGGCTTGCTGGCAAGGCCCAGGGTCAGGTTCTGGATGGAGGCCCTTCAGGGTGAGATCACGGGACAGGGCTCATGCCCACCTGCCTCATGGAAGAAGGCCTCTGACTTGGCCAAGTGAGGGATGCACACAGCCCCACTTTTGCCCTGGTCGGTCTCCTGGGGCTTGGGTGGGACGCAGTGAGGTGGCAGATGCTGGGCTCTGTAGGTGTGCCCATGGGTGTCAAGCCTGAGCACTCACATTGGTGCCCACAGTCATCTGGTCAGAGATGAACGCTCAGTGATCTTAGCCTTGGTGTGCTGTAACAGCTCCCCCACCTTGGGTCACTCCCAGGCCGGGCCGGCTGTGCAGGAGGCACCCTGTTCTGTCCCTTGCTATGTGTCCCAGAAGAGGGTGGCACTGTGGCTGCCACTGGGGCCCACGATACGCCACGTGCAAGTATCTCTCTTTCCTTTTCTTGCCTTACTGCACTATTGAGAATGTCCAAAATGATGTTGAATGACATTGGTGAGAAAAGACATGCTTGCCTTTTTCCAGATCTTAGGGAAAAAGCATTCAGTCTTTCAGCATTAAGTGTAATTTCCATAGATGCTCTTTATCAGCTTGAGAAAGTTCCTCTCTATTCCTGTTTCTCTGAGAGCTTTGATCAAGAACGGCTGTTATATTTTGGTCAAATGCTTCTTCTACATCAGTTGATATGATCTTACGATTCTTTTCTTTTGTAGTCTGTTAAAGCGGTGGATTATACTGATTCGTTTTGGAATATTAAACCAGCCTTGCATCCTTGGAATAAACTCCACTTGGTCATAGTGGTTCTTTTTATATATTGCTGAATTAGATTTGCTAATACTTTGTTAAGAACTTTTGCATCTATATTTCTAAGGGATATTGGTCTGTAGTTTTCCTGTTTTGTGCTGTCTGGTTTTTGTTGTCTGGGTGACACCAACTTCATAAAATGAATTGGGAAGAGCTTCCTTATTGTCCACTTTCTGCTGGGGATTGTGTAGAATTGGTGTTCATCCTTCTTTAAAAGCCTGGAAGGATTCTTCAATGAAAACATCTGGGTCTGGGAATTTGGGGGGGGGGGGGGGATATTTTAATTACTGATTCAATTTCCTTAATAGTTACATAGCTATTCATAGTATATATTTCATAATGGGTGAGTTTGCTAGTTTGTGCTTTTCAAAGAAGTGGTCCATTTCATACGAGTTGTAAAATCTGTGTATGTGGAGTTGTTTGAAGTGCCCCCTAATGATCCTTCTCATTCCGTGGGGTCTGTAGTGATGTCCCCACTTTTGTTCCTGATTCTGGTATCTGCTAGAGGTTTGGTGATCTTTTTAAAGAACCAGCTTTGTTCTGTTGACCTCCTCTATTGTTTTCAGTTTAATTGATTTCATCTCTTTATTGTCTCCTTCCTTCTGCTTGTTTTGGGTTTATTTTGCTCTTCTTTTTGTTGAGGGTGGAGCCTAGACTACTGAGATTTTCCCTCTCTTCTAATGTAAGGATTTAGTGCTATAAGTTTCTCTCTTGACCCTGCTTTGATGTGTTGTATTTTCACTTTCAATCAATCCAATGTATTTTTTATTTCTCTTGAGACTTCCTTTTGATCCATGCGTTCTTTGGCAGTGTGCTGATTAGTTCCAATTGTTTGGAGATTTTCCTGCTAGCTTTCTGTTACTGATGTCTCGTTTGATTGTGCTGTGGTCCAAGAACACACTCTGCATGATTTCAATTCTAATTTGTTGAGGTGTGTTTAATGGCTCATGATGTCATCTACCTTGGGATATGTTCCATGAACATTTCAGAAGCGTGTGTTCTATGCTCTTGTTGGGGGAAGCTGTCTATGAATGCTGATTAGGTCCTCTTGGTCGGTAGTAGTGTTGAGTTCTTTTATATCCTCCCTTGTTTTTTGTCTAGCCACAAACTGGCTGAGATCTTTCACTGAGGGCCACAGCTGCTGCCAGTCCTCTCCATGAGGCCACCCTCCCTGGACCCCAGAAAGTTTCCTCCCTCAGCCTTGCAGACCTTACCCTTCCAGATGCCACAGCACCTGTTCTTGTGAGCCATAGGATACTAGGTTCTCTAACCCTGCCCCCCCCACGTTGTCACTTTCTGCAGTGACCCAGTTTTCTCTGCCATCTCTTTCCTGCTTTGGCCTCATGATATGATACATATCTCAGAGGGATACTGCTATTACCCTGGACTCCTACAGTGGAAATTCCCACCAAAGATGAACTCACAGAGTAAAACAGTTAGCTTTGGGCTGCAATAAAATACCTAAGAGACTTGCATTTCCACTCAGAATGCCAAAAGCTGCAAAGAACATCCCTCCCACGCTAGCAATGGTGAAAGTCAGATGATGAGTCACAAAGGAACAAAGTAAACTGAATTCCAAAAAGGAATGAGGCCCTTCAAGGAGAGAGAGAGAGAGAAAGGGCACGAACTGTTTTGTCTTTGATGGGACACAGAAGAAAGATGTGACCACCACACAGATGGACAAGAAAGATTCAGGTAAATCTTGAGAAGTTCTGACAGGCCGATCACTATGGCAGTTGGAAATAGATCAGAGTCCTGTACAGGGAGCCCTCTGGGTGACACAGGTGTGCTTGGGGTGATCAGTGGCTCCTCAGGCCCCACATGCTTCCCAGACTCTCACAAGCAAAAACTTTTAGCTGAAGGAACGGTATCAGTCAGTCACACCCCTGGGGCATAAGCAGACTGCCAGGGTCTCAGGAGGCGTGAGAGCCTGAACAGGGACCCCCTCCATGGGGCCATCCTATAGGGACAGTTAAAAGCTGAAGGGGCCCAGGAACCCTGCAAAAGACCCTCCCCTCCAGCCCCATACCCCACTGTAATGGTGAGGCCACTGCAGCTGCAGTCGGAGGGGCCTGAAGACTGCACGGAGGTGACCCTGGCAACAACAAACTCAAACAGGCCAGGCGGCCAGCTCCTGACCACACGAAGGCCTGCAGGAGACGGGGCGTGCGGCTCTCCAGGCCCGGGGACGGCCGTCCGCTGGCTCTAGTGATTACCGAGAAGCAGCGCACAAGTCCCCAGCCACAGCTGGGCACATGTTTACTTCAACACTCCGTTCTTCCAGGATGTTCCTTATGTCTTTTGAAGTTCTGAGTTAGGACATACACATTTAGGATTTTGATGTCCTCTTGATCACTTGACCCCTTCATCTCTATCCCTGGCAACAGTCCTTGCACTGACATTGGCCTTGTCTGATATTCGATCAATATCAATCCTGCCACTCCAGCTACATTTCTCACTTGTGTCTATACAATGTATCTTTTACCTTTAACTATGTATGTCTTCATATCTGAAGCGGTCTCTTTTAAGCATATGGGTGAGGAACAGCATTTAACACAGAAAACAGGTAATCATTTTTTTTAAAGAAGCAGAATTTTTTAAAAAGCCAACAAAAATGTTAAACAGATCTATTATAATTCATTAAAATAAAAAACTTTACATAAGGATTACACAGTAGACCAGACACAGTGGAAGAGAGAATTAAAGAACTGGAAGGTAGATGTATAGCAGGGGGAGATCAAAGCTGAACAATATTAGAGAAAATTTTAGACAAGGAAGACAGAAGGAGAGCCTCAGAGAAGGAGAGAACAAAGAGGGTGGCAATGTTCAAGATGACAGAACTTTCCAGACTTGGGGAAAAATCCCACCAAACTGTGTTTTCATTGGATATTGTGTTTGGCTGCTAATTATTAAAAAAAAAAAATGAGAGTGGCTTAAACATGATCGAGGCTTATTTTCTCTTATGTTGAGAAGACTGGAGATAGGCAGTTGTAGACAGAAAGCGAAATAAGCCTCTTGCAGGTCTCCCACCTCAGGGGCTGGGGAGCGTGCCTATGAAATGTGATCATCAGGGAAGGCAATGCCCCGTCCCTCAGCCCCTGGCAGTAGAGGGTGTAACTTCTGCAAGCACCTGACTGCAAATGCAAGCCTCCACTCATAAAGTTATGAAAAATCAGGCAGTTTCATCTCGGATGCACGACGATACTGGGTCGTATCTGCTTGGGTCGTATCTGCTTAGCTATGTACAGGAGTAAGATCCCTTTCTGTCTGCAGTCTCTTTAGCACGTTGCCTAGGATGCAAGCCACATTCCAGCCAAATGCTCATTCAGTAATACACTTGCTTTCTCTCTCTTCTGTATTTGTGGAGAAGTCTTCTGGATTGGGAGGAGATTTTGCCCTTAATCTTATTTCCCCAACACAGTCCTAGGCTAGATCAGCTGCCCTTTGATCAGAGCTCCGGGTCCTTTTGTGTTTCTGCTTCACCATCCTTAATACCTGGCAGCGAGGAAATAAATGAAACCCAAAGGAGAAGGGCAAAGGCTATTTATTCAGAGCTTGCTACATCAAGGGGGTCATCTGCGTTTGGTGGAAACTCACAGGCAGGCAGAGGAGTGGGGAAGCTTCCTTGTGAGAACAGGGAGGCTCCAGGCGCGCCCTGGAGGGAGGCTGTGGCCCGCGGGTGGCTAACTAGAAGTGGGTCAGCCACATGACTCATTAGGGATGCATATCTGGCTTCCTCTGGCTGGTCCTAGGTTACAGCAAGGACAAAAATCAGAGAAGCGGTCAGTTATTAATCAAGTCATAGACATTTGGGGCCCATTGTTACAGGGCTTATCATTTGTCTTCCTGAACTGATGAGAGATAGTAGTCTGAATTCCTACACATCTGACTTATGGGGCTGGTTACCGCAGATAACTGGCTGGCTTCCTGGGCTGCAGGCTGTGGGGTCAGAGTTCTATTATTATTTTTTTAGATTTTATTTATTTGACAGAAAGAGAGCACAAGTAAAGGGAGCGGCAGAGGGACAGCAAGAAGCAGGCTTCCCTGAGGAGCAGGGAGCCGGATGTGGGGCTCAATCCCAGGACCTTGGGATCATGACCTGAGCCAAAGGCAGACGCTTAACCGACTGAGCCACCCAGGTGCCCCTAGAGTTCTATTTTTATACATGGTCTGGCCACTGCCCATTTGTATATTTGGTCTCTGAGCATTCATCATTGGGATCATCTCATGTCCCAGTACGGCCACTGCAGAACCCACCACTGCGAGCACATTCCAGGTAGAGAAGTTAAGCAAAAAGGGCAAAGAGCATGCCTCCCAGGGGAGTCCCTTTACAGGACTTTGAAAATGAGGATCCATCCAGACACATTTGCTTACATCCCTCTAGCCCTACCTGCCTTCAGGGAGATGTGCTTTGTTTACTGAGCACAGTGATGCCCCCACCAAAGAGGGGGCTTCTGTTTAAGGTAAAAGGGAGTGTGGACACTTGCCAGGCAGCCAGCAACCTCTTTCTCAGATGGAAAGATTCTTCAGGTGGAAAAAGTGGAGGAATAAATCCGTAAGAATCTATTCTTCAATAAGAAAGTTGTTTATGACGATTATTCTAATAAAGAACTGGCTGATTAGAACTGTTTGTAGTCAATGTTATATGCAGAAAATGTGCTCCCCAGTGCCTTCCCAACCACCCCACCCCGGCCCTGTCCCTCCATCTCCAGGGTACTGAGGCAGAGACAAGAGAGAGCAGTCTGAATATATGGATATGAACACACACTGAAAACTGCTCAGCTAAAGCGAATTAGTTCAAAGACACAATAAATTCAGGGAGCTGGTCACTTGGCAAATTGGCTCTTCAGAGAACTGGCTTTTAGTGACTGCCCAAGTGCAAAGAGTGGTTCAAGGAGAAGCACCTCGATGGGATGGGCGTGTCCACGAAGAACCCTGGGGCTTCCGGGCAGGGCTGGTGGGTTCTCCACCAGACTCAGGGCGGTCCCAAGGGCTGGAGCACCACCTCCACTGCATGATACTCACACCTGGTGAAGTGTAGTTTATGTCCTCTGGAAAAGAAGAAATGAAACCCAAGGGGGAAGATCACGGAGTTCAGGAGAGAGAGCGTGTTCTCAAGAAATGCATGGAAATGGGTCCCTTGCACACTGGAGACTGAAGGTGCCGTCCGGACAGCCGGGGCAGAGCGGGAGTCTTGCCGAGGGAGACACCCACGTGGCAGGAAGGAGCAAGCAGGGGCGCTCCGAAGCCTCCCCAGCCGCTCTCTGGGGCTGTTCCTCCAACACATCCAAGTTCTCCGGAACTGAGAGTGACTGTTGTGAGCATTTCCTTCCCAGCCAAGGGTCCAGACACTGCAAACATGCACGCATGTGTGTTCACCCAGGCAGGTGTGCACAGCCTCACACGCACACATACATCGGTGCAGGTGCACACCCAGGCACGTGCGTGCACACGCACACCAGCACATGCGCACGCACATGCACACGCTCACTCCACTTGCCTTTCCTTCCCTGGGGCTCTCCATTTTCTCTGCTGCCAGCACTGGATGAGAAGGTGCTTTCTACATCCGCTCTGGAGGATTTGCTCTGCATGTTCCTGCAGCCTGCTCCCCAACAGGAAGTGCTACCCCCACCTGACCCGAGGATCACACGCCACGTTCTGCCTGCCACTAAGTCTCCCCACAGAAAATTCTTTATTTTCATTCCTCCATCAGGAATTCATTTAGGGAAGTGTCCGTGATTCAAATGCAAAATGAGAGGAAGGATGATGCTTCCAGGGGCGACTCCCAATCCACACAAAAAACTGAAAGCACCTCTAATGCCTTCCAGGAGATGGAAAGTGAAAACCCCAGGGGAGGGAAAAGAGCATTGCCTGATCCTGCTTTGAGTGCATAGTTAGAAGCAAGAACACTTGGAAGAAGAATAGGAAATTATCGGACTGGAAACTTTTTCATGGTTAAAAAGAAGTGGCGAGTTGATGCATCATTGACAATATAATGGGAATTAGTCCTCTGATCACGTCTGACCGCCGCTGACAAGAAAGTGCTTCTCAGGAGACAGAGATCCAATCATCCCGCCGCCTCAGGAAGGGCCTGGAAATGCGTTTCTTCACATGTCCTTGAAATGACCTCCTTGGGACACTGCTGGTTCCAAGTGGGAAGGGGCCTGGGGCCGGGGGAGGGGGGGCAGGCTCCCAGGCGCAGCCACGGGGCAGCGATTTCCCCTGGACCAGCAGGGACTCTGGGCTTTGCCTCTAAAGCCAAATAACTGGGTCCAAATTCAGGACGTATCCTTTGTTAACCTCCTGGTTCAGCTGCGGGGCTGGAAAGAGGAGTAAGAATCACATCCAGCTGTCCTTCAGGGTTAAGCAAGTTAACCACAAATGGCCCAGGATTTGATCAACAGCGCCCATGTAGGGAGGCTCCCATAAAAACCCCAGCTGAAGTTCAGAGAGCTTCCAGGTTGCTGAACACACCCCCCCGATGGAGGGTGGTCACCCCGACACTGTAGGGACCCGCTGCTGGAAGGTGGTGCACCCCAACACCGTAGGGACCCCTTGCTGGAGGGTGATGCACCCCAACACCATGGGGACTCCCTGCTGGAGGGAGACACACCCCAACACTGTGGGGACTGAAGCTCCTGCACTCAGGACTTCTGGGCCTTGTCCAGGTACCTTTTCATCTGGCTGCTCATCGGTGTCACAATAAACTGAGTTCTGGGGGTCATTCTAGCAAAATATAAAACACAAGGAGGGAGTTGAGGAAACCCCCAATTTGTAGCCAAATCAGACAAAGCGTGGGAACCCAGGACAGACCACTTGCGCCCAACACCTGAGGGGGCGGTCCTGTGGGGCTGAGCCCCGGTTAGTGCCGGCCTTGAACTGAACTGTAGGATGCGCCATGGTGTCAAGCCTGGAGAGCTGTTTGGTGTGGAACCCCACATATTTGGTGTCAGAAGTGAAGAAGAGTGAGTCAAACAGAAGCTTACTTTCACGCAGAGACAGAAAGCAGACTGACGGGTCCCGAGACTGGGGGCGGGGGACCGGAGTGACTGCTGAGCGAGTGTGGGTTTCCTCATGGGGCGATGGAAACGTTCTGGAATTAGTAGTGAGGGCTGTACAATGAAATGAATGTACTAAAAACTACTGAACTTATACACATTGAAACGGTGAATTTTATGTTATGTAAATTATCTCAGTAAGAAAACATAACGTCAATATAAAAATTATTAATGATGGGTGCCTGGGTGGCTCAATTGGTTAAGCAACTGCCTT